ATCAAATCATTAATGCAAAGTTATTGAATTCATCTTTTTGTTTCAAATTATTTTTAGTTGTACAGATAAATATTTTATCCACATTTAAAAAATATTATACTTTTAAAAGTTTACAATATAGTAAGGCTGTCTTTACTCAAGTGTAAGATGCCATCAAATCTAAAATACATCATAATTTCTAAATACCCATCCATGGATTTTTTCTCTCAGAAAAATAAACAACTTGAAGCAAATTTATATCAACAGAACTGATTCTATTGACATAAATTTATTTGTTCAGTATTTATTGCACATAAAGTAAGCTATACATTACTGTCTTCAGTGGTATTGAAGTTGGAAACCCCCACTTTGTGTTAGGGTCTTCTGAATCAACACTGGATTCAATACTCACATCTTCCCACATGCAGTCATCCTCATTATTGTTTAAAACATTGGAAATGCAACATTTCTTGAAAGAGTGCTGCACAAGTTTTCTGATATTTTCATACATTTAAGTTGATGATACTGTAATAGACTAATGAAACTAAGCTATGTTGATCTCTTAAATAATTGCTATAACAAATATTGATCTAATAAAATCATTAAAATGTTGCATTAAAATAAATCTTATTTCTCTCTCACTAATTAGATTGCAACATTTTAATACACTAATACTAATTATGATGTGTTAAACCAAATCTAAGATTCACTCTATTTTCAAAGATACTAAACCTTGAAAAAGCACATCTTACGTTAGAGTAAATGTGGTATGTTAAAAATAATGATATTTAAGCACCAAGCTACTTGTGCAATGTTTTATTTTGCAAGAAAACATCTGGAACAAATTGTACAAGTTAAGAAATTGCTTTATATACATAAACACACAGATACATATGCATAGAAAAAGTTTGAAAACAGTATATTGTTCTTGAATTATGATATATCAATAACTTTATTTTGAAAAAACAAAAATAAGTTTTCATGGTTTTTTAAAAAATACTGAAAAAAATAGGTTTGATAAATACTCGTGCATTAAAAGTGTTTTTAATTTAAAAAAATAAATTCAATATTCTGTTTATTCTTTATTTTCAAACCTTTACATACATTAATTATATATATATATATATATAAACATCAACTCATGATCCCAATTCATAGTTAAAGCCAGATGACTGATGAATTATTGAGTTATATAACCATATTACAGCTTTATAATTTGACAGTTGTTTTGATGTTTAATATACTATAATTTATCTAAAATTTCAAAACTGAAAATCTAGAATTGTAAAATACCATTAATAAACATTGAAAATCATATATATATATATTGTAATAAATGAACTAATGAGCTTTTATAAAAGAAATTTAATTGTATATCAAAACATGGTTTGATTATTAAATTTATTTTAAATTATATTTAATTTAATTTTAAATTAAACTATTAAATTGTATTAGAATTAATAAACTAACAAATGAATCAAAATTATTATTAAACTCTTCTTTGCTTTCATTGATTATGAAATTTAATTATGTTTTGATATATGTTTGTTTACATAAGTTTTGAAAGATTGGCATAATAATTAGTTTTAGAAATAAAGATCATATATTTTATACATGGTGTGCTCTGTTTCTGTCATTCAGAGAAAAATTATCTTTTGTTTATCGTTACTGTTGTTTTTTTACATAAGACAGAACTCATAAGCAAGGAACAATTTATGAAATTCTAAATAAAAATTTTTTTATTTAAATGTGATTTACAAAATATCTAATTTGATTTAATGAGATTATACATAAATAAACTAATAAAACTACATTAAATTTAAATGAGTTTAATAATCCAAAAAATATTTAAGAACTATTTTTCGCATAGAAAATGCTTAGTTTTTTTACTCGTCCCCTAAAACTGAAATTTGTTCATTCTTTTTATGAAGAAGCAAAGTCATTTGAATTGATACTGTCTTATATTTGCATTTGTAATTTAAATGCAGATACTTGTATTTAATTCTAAAATTTTATTTTTGTCAGCTAAATTATTTTGTTTTTTTTAGATGTAATTACTATTTTGTGCATGCTTAATTTTTTTATATTGTATTGGAATTTTATCATTGTTTATGTAAACTTTATTAATATAAAAGTTTTTGCAAATCATTAATTGAAGCAATAATAGAACTTCAAAATATTTTTAAAAACATTGGAATTATTTTTTCTATGTTTTATAAGGTAACAACAGAATACTATTGCTTTTACAATAATTTGTTAAAAATTTATTATTTCTTCTTATCTCTAGTAGTTTTTGCTGGTTTTCCTGCTTATATCTTGAAAAGAATTTAATAAGCTTGAAAATACAATAAATCTTATATGATGTATTGTTTTCAATATTCTAATATAATGCAAATTGATTTCACCTAACTTCTTAAATATATTTTATCATTCATCCAGTTATCAAATGCAGTAAACATAGCTATTAATGTAATTTTCCTTACTTATATACGTTTATATACTTATTTATTTAAATTGTTTATTATGTTATAGTGAATTTCAAAAGAAGTAGGGAACTCATTAAATTTTTTATCAATTTTTAATTTAATAAAATTTAATAAAATGAAAAATTAAATTATAACTGCATATTTAATTTTTGCACTTCTAACAAAAATTATAATAATTTTAAAAGATATCTTATTGAATCTTTCAGGCATTTTCTGTATTTTTTGTGTTCATTGCATTCACTTCAGACATGATTTGTTTTCTCTTCATCCCGGTTCATTGGCTATTTTTTGCTGCAAGTACATATGTCTGGGTACAATATGTTTGGCACACAGGTAAGATGATACTCTTGTTTTACATAATAATTAAAATTTTTAAAAAGTTTTATTAGGTAGATATAATTTATAAATAAAATAACTATAAAAGTAGTATTAAAACATTTTCTGTCTTTAATTTAAAAAATTAAATTATAACATAAAATTAAAGTTAAAATTGTTATAAATAATGCTTAAAATTTAGTATGAAGCTCAATTTAAATTTTATCAAGCTGCATAATTTTTTTTAAAATTAAAGTTATCAAACTGCCTTAACCAAACTAATTTTAATTAAAGATAATTAACCAAAAACTTTCTGAAAAAAAATATTTTCATAGAATTTATAAATCTTAACTTTTCTCATTGAACAGTTGATACCATTTTTAAAGTCAAATATAACATATTATAAAAAAAAATTTTGTCTCATAATTATTGTACAAGAAGGGCCAGCAAACCAAATGCACCTTGACCTAAAAAACATTTATCTCTGGCAGGGAATCAAATCCTGATTTTCTGTAATTGTTGTTTATAATAGAAATGATTATAACTACATTCAAACTTTTTCATTTTATAAAGCAATTTATAAAATGAATTTATAAAATGAATTTTATAAATTCATTTTATAAAATTCATTCTTAAGTATTCTTAAGTATCCTTTTTTTTTATTACAAAATAAATCTCTTGTGTTAGAAATTTTTTGGCAAAAATATCTGGTTATATACAAGCCTTAAATATACATTAGTTATTTTGATAAATAGTAATTTAATGTATAACTTTTATCATCATTCACATACATTTTGAAATCTTTTACAAAATAATTTTTTAAAATAATAATTAATAATAATAATAATCAGAAACATTTTCGCAATGAATAAAATCATTAAAACAAAATTGTGTTTATAGTATTTTAAGGCAGATTAAATTAAGGTCTTCACAAATGACATTTTTAAGACAAAATTTTAAAAAATATATATTGTATTTATTTTAATAATTTTAATTAAAGCTACTGTATTATGGTAATATGCTCTTCTTATTTGCATCTGCATATTAGATTTCAATATTTAAATATAATATAAATATAAATACAAATTAAGCTAAAGATTTCACTCTTAATGCTTTCTTAGGTGCCCTAAAAAAGAAAGAAAATAATATATCAATTCAAACTAATAGATTAGTATTACAGAAACAATTATATAAAAAAATATCTTCAAAAAATCTGTTTAAGAGTTACTTATTGGCATTACATTTTATCTGTTTTATTTTAGACAGAATTTAAAATATTTCTGGGGAATAGATAACTGAATATTATCTTGTAATCAGTGTACATTTAGGGACTGGAAATATTTTCTCCAATATGAATGTAACCAAAGCACTTATACTTGATGTACAGTTAAATTGATAATGAATATTTGGCAGTCATTTAGCTTTAACTATAAATTAGGTTTGTGAATTATATATATATATATATATATATATATAAACAATTATTCTTTTACTATCTGATAAATCTTAACACAACATATTGCATTTTGCAGCATACTTTAGTTAATTTTTTTAAAGCTGGATCATAGCATCAGAAGTAATTGATTTTCTTGAATTTAAATGAATCAAAACTCAAAAATAAAGTTTGATTGTAAGATTAACCTTGAATATGGTGTTGACAAAATTTTTAATGTTTAATACAAATGTTTAGGAAAAAAAAAGATTGACATAGAAGAGAATTGAATTTGTAACTTCTGCAAACAGAGATATGTTACCAAGTTCAGTTTTTAGTCTTTAATTTATAATTTTAAAAACAATAAAAAGAAAAAGATTTTTAATTACTAAAGTATTTAAGATAGGATGACTACACTTTTCTCAAAACAAATTGTATAGTGAATTCATTAATTTCAAATCTAAAAATACTTAAGAAAAAAATCTGGTGATATTTGACAAATTATTTTATTTTGATATGTAATTCAGTAATAATTATAAAGTGAATATAAATTTAATTATAAAATGTCAAACTTTATTATCAAATATAATTACTAAATTTCTGTTTTATAAGAAATAATGTTAATTGATATTTTAATAAACCTTTGTATCAAATTATTAAATTCATTTTCTTTTGAAGATGTTTGTTTTTCTAATAATATTGCTTAAAATATCTTGAAATGAATAAAATCATAAATTACATGAATTTAATGAGCTGAGAGTAAATTATTTTATAATTTTATTTTCTAGAGAGAGGAGTTTGTCTTCCAACAATTTCTCTGTGGTTGCTATTTGTGTATATAGAAGCATCAGTGCGGCTCAAAGAACTTAAAAATCTACCATTTCATTTAGATTTATGTAGGCCATTTGCAGCTCATTGGTAAGTACTTTTAAATTTATCATTTTTCTTAAAATTTTATTATGTTTTACTTTTTAGATTCATTGATGATTATAGTACTTACATTTTATGAAAGTTTATAAACTAGCTTTTGATTTTATAAAAAAAAGAAAGTTAGGATTTATAAACACCTTCAACTAACAATGAACATAACTTAAGTATCCTCTTCCAGTTCTGATGAATTTCTTTTATATATGCTATAAAATATACAATAGGTAGTGCTTTATTACTATAATTCCTCAGTTTTAACTTAAAGATTTTTTTAAACCCATTTTTACGTGTCTAAAACATTGAGGTGTCTAATATTTATAGACCAAAACAACGGTTTGAAATCATGATGAATAGACCATATGATGTATTATTTTTTAGTAATAGATGTTTTTGGCTATGTTGTTCAATTATCATATTAGTTCAAATCAACTTTGCTGGTAATGGGCATTCAATTTAAATTGCTTATTTTAGTGGTTTAAAATGGTTTTAAGATGATAAACATTGATGCAACATTAAAATAAAGTTATTATATATGCAGAAAGGTATAGAAATAGAACTGCTAAATACAATATTATGTATTTTTAGACATTTGTATTGCCTTGCTAACTTATTAATTCATGAAACTTTTGTTAATTAATAAGTTAGCAAAATAATACAAAAAAACCTTAAAATTTAATTTCAGTATTAATCTTAAGAATTGAAATAATAAGATAGCGAATGTTCTGTATTTTATATTCCATGTATAATAGAGATATAACTATATTTTGTTTGCATATATGAACTAAAATACATTTATTTCATTTTAAATATGGGTATATCTTAATATATTTTCTTTAATGTTGGAATAAAAACTCAAATGTGTAGAGATATAATTATGATTAATCTCTGTTGTGCTGGACAAGACTCTCACAATATTTTTTATATTAGCAATATTAGTTTCAACTTTTCATATTTTGTGAATATTGGAAATTTATCTATTAAAAAGTTGCACAGAATTCCCATATTTTTCATAATACTGTTGTATATTGTGGATCATTTATAAAAAATATATTTCTGTTCAAAAAATGAAAGAATTTTCAATATAAACCTAGTATACATTAAAGCAATCATATGTAGTTCATATATTATGCTTTTTTTAAAATTAATTTGGTACTTGGAATGTTATACCTATAAAAATAATAGGCCAATAGTATATTTGTAATTACTGGTAGCTATTAAAATAAACTATGATGAGAATGTCCCCATTTATATTTGCATGCTTAAATTGAAAAACAAATTAAAGATATAGGATTTTATTAAACAAGTTCTGTTTAGAATAAAAAATAAACTGCACAGGCAGTTCAAAAAGTAATATCTGTTTAATAATATAAATAAACTTAAAACAGTTATTATAAAAATAACTGTTGTTTAAAAATACAAACAGTTGACTATTGACCAATCATATTTACCTTTTTCACAAATTATTATTTATAAATATAAATATTTATTTACAAAAAACTGTTGATTCAACCAACAGTGTTGTGTAATAGAATTTCTTTATCAATTTGTTGAAATAAATGTTAGTCACATCCATGTAAAATCCAAAAGTTTATAAAAATGAAACAGTTGATGTTAGCAACATCAAAAGTGGCTAAATCATTTTAAAAATAGAAACACCACTATTTTGAATAAGCCTTGTAGTGGTAAATGGTAGATGTCAATAAGTATGACAGATGAAATTTGTCAAAAATTCAAGGCATGATTTAAATGACTGTTGTTTGAAGATTAGAGAAATATCAGAAATATTGGGAATATCCATTGGACACTTTTTTTTCAATTATCAATAGTTTAGTATATTGAAAAGTAGTGTCTTACCAGATTCTGAAGAAGATTGACTGTTATTTTTGAGTTTTGATGCAGCACCCAGCCTATAGTCCTGATCTAACACCTCCAAACTTTTCTTATTTGGTTACTTGAAGAAACAGCTATGAAAACATGTCTTTCAATTAAATAATGATCTTAAGGAAACTGAAAAATTGGTGCAGAATGTAGGAATCTTCTTTTGATAGATCAGTTTTCATATCATGGAAAGAATGATATCTAAAATGTGTAAATGATGATGGAGGGTACATAGAACAGTTTTATTCTGTAAATATACTTTGTTGTTCATGTTAAAGTTAATTAAAAGTTTTTGGATTATTTAGATATTTTATCATTATTGAACAAGTATTACTTTTTGAACTAGCTTTATATAATATTTTTATGTTAATTTATTATAATTTTTACAATATAAAATGAATTATTCTGACTAAATTTATTCTGTAGTTTTTATTATATCGAAGTTACTTATTATTATTTTATATTTTTTTTAGCATTGGCTATCCAGTTGTTACTCTTGGGTTTGGGTTTAAAAGTTATATTGGTTACAGAATGAGGCTTGTAAGTTCTGTTTTTTTCAGTATTAATTTTTAATATAATATGCTTGCAAATAAACAGTACTGAAAATATGTTTTGTTATTCATTATTAATGAGATTAAACTTTTATGAAATAAAATATTAATATGGTACAGTGGGTGATTGGTTAACGAACAGTTCAGACTGCAAACAAATTGGACAACAAACACTTTCATGAAAGATTTTTATGTTTGGACAACAAACATCCCACAGAACAAACACAAGAAAAAGAGACGTAAAATAATGAATACCAATTGGTTTTATCCTGTCTCCAGGTGACAATTTGAAATCTTTTGGAGCTTGAGAGACATTGACGCTCAACCAATACTGATCAGATAGTATTCCTCTTAATTTTAAAACTCCCTTATAATTCCAGCTTTTTGTTTACCATTCTGACAAAGAACTTTTTTATTGCCTTCATGAGACTGTCAGGTGGGTACTCTTTAAGTTTTGCATCATTTTTATTTTTGAAGGTGGGAGTTTAACCTGTCCAGTATTGTTCCCGACATATCTTGGATCGTGATCTACTGTCCTTGACCGGTTGACCCGAGATATCTTGTTTCAGCATCAGAATGCTTTTGAAACTAGATGGCGGTAGTCGTTATAATTATATATATATATATATATATATATATAAACAATTATTCTTTTACTATCTGATAAATCTTAACACAACATATTGCATTTTGCAGCATACTTTAGTTAATTTTTTTAAAGCTGGATCATAGCATCAGAAGTAATTGATTTTCTTGAATTTAAATGAATCAAAACTCAANTATAGTACTAATAAATTGTTAATAATGCTCATCTATATTTCTCGACAACATTTTAATAAGAGAGGTCTTGTATTTATCAGCTGTGCTTCCCTTCTTCTACTTTGGTATCAGGAAATTATGGTCAGCCTATTGATAAGTCTTCCATAATTTACCTCAGATAATGCAGAATTACAATTACAGTAATACCTCGGTTTTCGTTGACTTTGGTTATTGTCAGTTTTGGTTTTCATCGATTTTTTACACAAAAAATTTGTCTTGGTTTTCGTTGGCATGCCCCAGATTTTGTCAGCGTGCCTACGTGACCTGCTAGTTTTGCAAAAAATAGGGTGACCCACGCATATTCCTGCATACTGTGTTGTTGTTTCTTGTTGTGTGAGCATTACCCCGCACGACAAGCAAAACAATTCCATTTCTTTCCTTCCCTTTTAGCTCCATCATGGAACCAAAGGAAGTTTTCAGAGCCAGCAGCGTTTTGAATGCCATGATAAATGCTATGTTATGTTCATTTAGTCTTTACATTAGTCTTTTATATTTATTTTATATTGATTTCTTATTGTTTTTAGTATTAAACACAATATTTGTGCTCTATAAAATATGTTTTTGGTATGTATTTTGGAGTGTCTAGAACAAATTAATTGGATTTACATTGATTCATATGGAAATAATTGCCTTGGTTTTCGTCAGTTTCGGATTTTGTCTATTGTTTTCAGACGGATTATCGATGAAAACTGAGGTATCACTGTAACTGGGACTTCAGTGTATTGACATAATGCTGATAAACAGGAAATTCTTGAAATTAGTTAACTGGTTTTTATATATCAGATGCTAAACCAGTTCTCAGACTGACTTTAAAAACACTTTTAATTGAGTAGAATTAATGTTTTATTATTGTATTTTATTAGTAGTTGTTGGCTTAGGATGATCAACTTTACGACCACAACTGTGACTGTTGACTGGTATGTCTGGCAACGGCTTGATTCGACAATTTTCACATTTGGCACCACAAGCTATGCCCAGCTGGGCATACAGTAATTTGTGATGATAATTGATATTCTTAAATGATGATTGATGTTTATGTTTCGTATAAAATTTTATTTTAGTTCTTATGAAGTTGATGATAGCATACATGCCTTTCCCTCCTCTGTTTACCCTGTATCCTGCCCTCCTGAAATGTTTGCCCTCATCACTTTTGAATGTTTTTAATAGTTTCCATGACTGTACTTTCTTTTAATATTCCTCAGTTTTAAATGAAAACTACTTCCCATTGTACCTAAAAACTACACTGTCTTTCGGTTGGTGGTATAAACAAATTTTAACCCATATGGGATGATAGTAAAACCTAGTTAAGATGTTCCTGCATGAGATGTTTCCCTGCCTAAGTTGTTCAAATTATGCAGTCTCATCATTTCACTCATAAGACAGGTGTTAAAAATTCCTGCATAAGATTGATGAGACTAAAAATAAAAAAACAATATTTAGAGATACGATATCAGAATGGCATAAAATGTAAAGGCCAACTTACCATCAAACCAGTTTATAACCAGTTCCTTGAAACCAATTATGATCATAAGTCAATGGCTAACTGTAAGAATGACATATAAAAACTGTAAATAAACTCTTATATATATTTTTAAATTGTACAGAAATATTTCTTTGAATAATATGTACTATTGCATATATCAGTGGTGCACTAAGGATTTAATCTTGAGAGAACAGAGTTGAATGGATAAAAGAATTTTAATGCAAATTTAATAAAATTTCACTTTATGTGATCATTAATTCATAAGTTGTGTAGAAAGACTTGCACAATATAAATAAAAAAATGAATTTTAATTAGGAAAAGGTTTTTGGAAAATTTTCTAGTTAGTTCTCTTTCTTTGATGGTGCCAGGGCTCCTTTGTCTCTCTTTCAGTGCAACACTGGTATATATTATTCAAATAAATTCTTATATAATTAAGTATAAACTAATTTAAATTTACAAATTATTTGCAGATTTTTTGTATACACTGTTTTTTAAGTACTACTACATTTTTTTACTTGTAAAATGTTTATTATAATAAAATATGCTTTATTTTACTACAGTGTAAAATAAATTATGTATTTAATGGAAATGTTTTATTTTTAAGAACCAGTTACAGTAAAAAGTAAAGTATTATTCTAATAGTAGAGTAATATTAATTAATATATTACAAAGAGTTATCAAATTCAAAATATGTAGTCTTTATTTATAGTTTGAAATTTTTGTATTGTTTGAAAAGAAATTTATAAATAAATAATTTCAAAATTAATAACTGATATCATTTTTATCACCTGTTCAAAACTGGTTTGAAACCGATTTTTGGGTTTATCAAAATTGTTTTTTACTGAAAACTGGTTGTTTGGTCTTATGAAAACTGTGTTTGTTGCCAGCATTAATTTGGCATAATTGCATATTAGATGAGAATTCAATTTTAGTAAGAATTGTAAGATTAATAGTAATTCTTTTATTTGATTATAAAAGAATTACTGTCATTCATCAGAATGTTCTTATATCATGACATTGTGATAAATGACTATTGACAATACAGATGTAACCAATCTTTGACAGTCTTTTCAGTAACGTAAGATATAAATTTGATAATGATATTCTGAAAATATTTTTATTTGGAGTGAATTTTGTGCAGCTTTTTATATTAATACTGATCAGTTTATATAGTACAGTATAGTTGTAAGGAGTCATTCAAAAATTTATTTCTTTGAAAAGTCATTAAGACAGATTTGAGTTTGAGTGAACTAAAATAGGATGCATTAATTGAAAATGGATGTTAATGTATGTACTATTTTGTAAATGAAAACAAATGGGAAGAATATTATTTTTGCATAGAGAATTGTGGATTGCTATTGTAAAGACTTAAAATGACAGCAAAGTAATTTGATGGTCAAATAAAATTTAAACAATAATTACTTCTAAGTGTTGTTTCTTTTATTACTTCTCACCTGTTGGCATTAAGGTCTGTATTCATATTGATTAATTTTTTATCTTGGCCTGTATTAAAGGGCGGATTGAAAAGTGGAATTCAGTTACTCGAAGAAATTCTGAAGACCTGACCTGAATTTGATTCTGGATTCTACAATTAGACATACTAAAATGATTTGCACATATGGCTCTCAGAATTGGTCATGTGACTTATTCACACACTGTTCCAATATTGAAATCATATACAGTAAGAGCCATTGTAACCATAGATGTTATCATTAGTGGTTTAATGTTAATCAGAATTATCATGTCCCAAAGTATGTAAGTTAATAATAATTATGATTATAATATGGCATTAATGATAATTAAAATTAATAAATCTGAAAGTTTTACAAATTTTAATTGTTTTGATGTCCTTTTAATATTAAAGAATCAATAAAATCAGAATTTTCACTAATTGTAGTGTTATTTTATCTCACTTAATCTTTTATTGCCATTAGTATACACAAGTCTTTGAATATAATAAATGTATTTTACTATATTATGAATTAACTATGTTGGACAGTATATAGTCAAAATATCACTCTTAATGTAATAATAGTAAATAACAAATTACCATGTGTTTTCATTTGAAAATAAGTTTTGACATGTGCTTTACCTGTAGGCAAAATATGTACACTTATTGTATTACACAATAACACACTACCATATGTTATTGATATGAGACCGGAAACAGATGTACACAGATCAGACAAATCTGGAAGAACTGGTTCATTTGATAGCTCTGATGTAAGCAAAACCTTATTAGGAATGCATACAAGTACTGCCATCATAGCATTGAGTTAAAGAATGGCAGAAGTTGATTTGATAGGCTACCAGTTGGACAATGTTGACTTCAGGAAATTAACATGAATGTATGGGGGTAACACTGTTTCAGTCTCTCCCATAGAATATGATGAAAGGCTTATTCATTGACTAGTTCCAGTTTGCATTTATTTCTCAAGAACTGGACATTGTATATTGACATTAAAAATAAAATTATGAACAGTTTTATAATTATCAAGATATATTAAATTCATTTAACTTTTCTATTAAACAATAAAAAATAAAAATTGTTTTATATTTGGGATGGGTTATGCAAATTTTTAAGACGAAATTGTAATGTACAGGTTAGAAAATGGCAAAAGAATATAATGAAGTATTAGTCATGTTGTACTGTACAGTACATCACAACTTCAGTTAAAAATTTATTT